ATCTCATTGACTTTGTCTTTCGCCCTGCTCTTTAAAGGTGGGAACAAATGACGGACAAGCACGAAAACCGATCGAGTCGATTGTAGAAGAGAGCGGACAAACAAAGCGGTCGATCTGTATAACGGGGCGAAGAGAATGAAAGCCCAGAGGGGTCTCCTATAGGTATGGGAGAGGAGAGCAAGCGAGAAACAAAGACTCGTAAAAAGGGCACTATGCAAGACGATCCCATGTCGCGATGACGACGCCCTGGCGCCCTGATCCCCGACACCTTCGAGTGCGCCCCATAAAACCCTATTCTCAGCTGAAATATCTCGAGCGGGCTGCCGCCTAAGCCACTTTTTTACCTGCGCGGATCTCCCGAGGGGAGACTCGACTCCTGCGGCTGCAACATTGCGCGCGACCACGTCCCGATGCGATTCCGAGACTATTACAAACGAGATTCAATTATCGAAATCGCAATTTTTCGCTCCGATACATCGCGTATCAAAACGCTAATGCAGCCCCACAAAGAGAACGTTTCAATATTACGATCTGATAAGTCCGCGGTGTATTCACCAGGAGAGATCTCGCCGGAGGTAATGTTTCAGTATCGTCTAATGATCCTTAATCATTCTAAAGCCATCTTTGACACACGCGAGATAAATTTAATAGTAACCATTAAACAAGCGAACGGGAATATATCTCAGGCGTGTATATCCTACACTTCAAAGCACGCACGAGCCATAGAGAGGCGGGACAGGTCGTTTGGTGAGTCGTCGCGAGAATAAATGATCTCCGCGGGTCGAATCCGAGTTGCGGATGAAGGCGCAACCGCCATCGTCCCTGCTTCCTGCCTGGCCAGACTCGCGGCGACTTTCGTTCACGTGCGTGCGCGGGGAAATACGTCGAATAATAAGAATGCCATTAAAAAATTAAACGAGGCCCCCTATAAATACGCGCCGGGAGAATACGGCGAGAATGGCGCCGGGGAAAAGGGCAGAAAGCAAGGGGGGGAAAAAAGATTGCGCGAAACGTGCGGAGCAAAGGGAGGCGGAAGAAGGAACGGTTAATTTGTTGTGCATCAGCAGCACCAGCAGCTACGAAGACAAGCTACGGAGAGAGATAGAGAGAGAGAGAGAGGGGGAGAGAGGTACCGGGGCCATACTAAGAAAATAACTAGAGATAATTACGCGCATAAATCAGAGTGTTAATATTCGGGGGCGTAGGTAGGAGGCGCAGGTAGATATATTCGCCTATAGGTAGGCAGGACCCGTGGATATATACGGGAGGAAAGGGAGGAAGGGGACGAGAGGTCGGACGAGAGGAGAGACAGCGAGAGACGGAGAGGGTAAGAACGGAATAATGCCAACTTCGGATCGGTAGATCATTCGTGGCCGTTGGATACGCCTCCTTGTTAGCCTGGGTTTACTTAGTCCTTCGACGCTCCTACGACGTGCGTTACGCCCGCTAATAGCCCACCGGTAACGAACTACCGTCGACCTTTTTTGAGGACCTTTTAAGCGAAAACGCGTTTCTCTCCTCTCGCGCTGCCTCTTATCGATCATGGCCGTCATCGCGAGAAAGGATCGCCCCGTGGAGTCGCCGCGCTGAAAGCGAATTCCTTCCCACGTTTGCCGCGCGCTGCCCCGACGAAAGGATATGCGCCACTTAAAGAGCAGTCCTCAGGGCGATATTCGTAATTTATCGGTCGCAAATGGAAGGACTCGCGCGGGTAATTCGCTCGGGTAGTACGCGCGCGAATTATTTCCAGCCGTCGTAATCGCCCGTCGACACTCTCGACACAGATTTCTGCGGTATCGAAATTTTTCCCGATCGCGACGAGGGTGCGCAGCGGTGGCGAAGCGAGGCGGAACGGGGGACGAAGAAAAAAAAGACGGAGGAAGGGCGCACAGTGGCGTTGAAACACTCATAACAGGTGGACCGATACTCGGCACGAAGATACATCTTCGAGGTGGGCGGTCCCACACTCCTTAAATCAGCCCGCAGCCACCATAACATTAAGCCCACCCTCCTCTCTCACGGCACGTCTCATCTCCCGCCGTTTATTTGTTTGCTTAGAGCGAGTAATTAGAATCCGATACAAATGGTTATTATTTATCGGCATGGAGGGGCGAGCAGAGCCGACGAGAGCCCCGGTACGAATGCACGGGACGGACGGACGGGGTGTATACCTCCTGATTGCCTGGCGTTATTAAACCGGGAGATACCACGAGATAAATACACGGAGGCCAAACCCGTAAACACCGGACACTATATAATGTTGCCGGCGATCCTTACCAACAGCTTTCATTCGCGAGCGACGCAGAACTCAATTATTACAGCGATGTCCTCCGCGAACGCGCTATTAATAATTCGTTCCGTTTTACAAATGTCTAACGTCGTTCGATAAAATCGCGCGTCTTCAACTTACGTACGGCCCGTTGGTATTTTGGGAGGGGGATTTGAGATCGACGTTACAAAAGTCGTTCGATTTTCGAGAAGCAGACGCAAAATAAACGAGCGCTATCGGCGATAGTCTTGCAGCTGTCGAAGCATAGAAGCGGGTTCATGGAAATAAACGTAATGAGGTTCCCGATCGAACAGGGGCCCAGCCGCGCGTCACGTCAGACCGATGCACCCGTCCTGCATTTCCGAGGAACGCACCGCGCGACTCACAGAGGCGAATCTATCGCGATGCCAGACGCGTCCGTTAATAAAGTATAATGGGCACACAGCGCCTCTCTCCCCCGAGATGACGACCATGTACACCTGACCCACAGAATACAATGGCCGACTACGTCGTTCGGGCACGAATCACGTAAGTGTGTATGAACGGACCCTTCTAATGGGCATTGTATAAAAGGGGAAAAAAAAAGATACCGTGCCTATCGTGACCAGTAGATCATAGACGGTAATGAGAGCTGCGAGATGTCGCGGATAAGAATATTCGAGCTCCGCTCTTTTTTTATTTCGAGACCCTTAGGTCTCGTCGACTTTTGCAATTTCAAATCTCTTGCCGCGAGATTACAATTATTTGATACGATTAATTGTCCGTTGCACTAAGAAAATCCTCGCGGATGAAATCGTTAGCCGAATATTGAATAATCGTCCGATTTATTTATTCCAACGAAGGCTCCACGGGAGATAACGCCGGGGGTAACGTTGATTAGCTCCGCTGTTGATTTAATTACCGGGAGAGTAATTGGCATGCCTACTGACGATCCCCTTCCCTTTCTCTCTTGACACAGACACCCCTCCCCCCTCCCCTCCCCCCGTCGCTTACTTCGCTCTCCGGCACCCTATCGTCTCACACCCTCTCCAGCCCAAACTGTTGCATATTCATCGATGATAGATTATTATATGTCTACGTGTCAAAGACTCGCAGCCAGGAACAATTGGTCTCGGACAATGTCTCTATTCGATACACACGACTCCGTTAAAAATTTGCGCGGATTATGACAATTTGGCGAATGCTCGCTTTATGCTAATCAAAACAGACCACGAGTCCCCCCCCGAAAAATTGCCCACGCTCGAGTCTGGGTTTTTGCCTCTCGCTTTCCAAATATCGTAAATTGCTTCGTTCGCCTGGTTTATCGTGCGTGTTTTTCGCGGAGGAGATATGCGCAAATGAAAAAAAAAACCAGCCGGAAAAACAAACAACGGACAGAGCAGTTCGTTGCCAATTTCCGCGAGTCCGAGACACGTCGTAAAAAGGGCACCGCGGACGGTTAGGTTCGTACGGTAGCGGTTATAGGCGAACGTATATCGCGGCGATGTTATCCGCAAACACGCGGGTTCGGCCAATTTATCCCAAGGGATGAGGCCGACGTGGCATGGCGATGGTGGGTGTGGGGCAACCTTGTCCAGCGGAATGAATTCAGCACGCAGCCCCTGTGCGGTCGAGCCGCCTCTACCCCTTTCGCCGACCATCTCCAACCACCGTGCAACGTCCCCACCGTTTGGCCACTTCACCCTCTCGTCCGTCCCCTCTCTCTCTCTCGTTCACCCGATAGCGCGCGCGCGCGCATGTTAAGGTCACTTCAGAACGTTCCGAGGAAACGATATAGAAGCGGGTGAAAGAAACGGCAAAATTGCTAAAATACCAAAATTCACGGCAAATTCTTGGAGATATTGTCCCGGCAACTTGTTCCCCAAGTGTCACGAGATCGCGACACTAATTATCGCTAATGTAACGGACACTTGGAGGCGTTATTGGTCTATTTTAACTCCAGCGGGTAATAATTAGGGACGGACAAAAATTACTCAAACATAGATGCTTCTCGGCAATACGACCCGAAGCGAATTAATGCGCCGCAACTGTACCTCAGCAGACCCGTGCTGCATCCGTGGCGGTCGAGCCACTTGACAGGCGGCGATTTATAATCGATACAAGTGGTGTGAATAGCCCTTAACCCGCTACCATCCGCCACTCCTGATCCGCTCCACATATCGCTAGCGTGGTATACAACGGCCGCCTGATTGCCACGGGGGCTCTTAGATTTATTGACCTGTCAATGGCGGCGCGCGAAAACGGCGAATTTACAACGCCGCAGGTGTTAAGTTCTGCCGTGCGTGTAATAACGGCCTGATCCCCAGGCCTACGGTAAGCCACACCGTAATTATATTTCCGAACCTCCCGCCCGCTACCTTTGTCATTATCACCCGAGGTGGCGTAGCTGTAATTCAATGAGATCCATCGCGCGTGTATATAAACGCGAGCGATAAAGGTCCGATAAACGACGCACGGCTCTACGAAATTTTAGTATGCCACGCAGCCGTCGCCAGTGCCACGAATCGTACGTTCCTTATGCACGATGCCCCGGAGAGAGATTTAGTTTCCGCCTACGGACACTAAGGTTCCAAGCCCCGCGAAGCGGGATAACGCAAATCCCGAAGAGGACGGCACGATAATTCGCAAGCGGAATGAATAAAGCGGAGGGAGCTGTACGAAACGCTCGCGAAATGATTTACAATTTGCACGTCTTGTACACGGCGGAGCGAAATGATACAGTTTATCCTACCTTGAGTCTGGTGAGACGAGGTTCCTCGGCCGCGAGCTTCGCCAGTGCCTGATAGTCTCCCTGCGCCGCCCTGACCAGCCACTCCCGCGATTTTCCGTCCAGTTGCTTCGGGAAAGCATCGATCGTTGGCGATTATTAGCGATTAATGGGCGCGAGGGATCGCCGGGATCGATCAGCAGCACGCGGAAGATCGAGCGGGCCCGTTCGATCGAGAGCGGGCGAATTTTAATTAAGATCCCCGGCCACGATCTGGCGTGCATTTATCAGGGGCCGGCGATGCACGTCCGACCAGGGAAGAGAATTACGGCCCGTGCTGCGTCGCTCTCGTCGGATTGGCGCGCGCAATAATCGCGATCTGCGGTGGGTGATGAACTTACCGAGGCAACGGAAGCGCTGTCATCCTCGTCGGCGCCCTGCGGAGAAAAGAAGAGAAAGAGGAAGGGGGTTAGAGTTGATCCCTCGAAAAATCAACATTACGCGCCACGTCACGCGGACGCTCGCGGGGCATGCGGCCGCGAGTCGCCGCGAAAACCGGTCCGCTGTATATGGCGTTGGCGTTGCTGCGCTCTCCGCGGAAGAGAGAGAGAGAGAAAGTGAACTCTCGCTGCATCGCGTGTGTGCCACGATGGCAAACGCACCAAGCGGCATGGGGACGACAGGCGGGGAGAAAATGCGTGAGCGCAGCGGGAGGCCACCGAGCACGGGACGCGCGCTTCGGCCATCAGATTGATATACGGATCCAATAATTGATTCTCCGGCGCAAGGCCTTGGGAGGCTGGCTGGGGCCGCACGCACTTACGCAACCCCCGACCGTCGTCCAAGAACAGACGTCCCATTTCGGAAACTGCCGTCGCGTCCCCCGGACGCCCGGCAAACGGACAAACGACTCACGATCGCGATTATCGACGAAGCATAAAAGCACACTTAAGATACCCACGATAAAATTCTGGTCGCGCACGGCGCCTCGTATCGCTTACAAAATTCTGCTTTTAACAGAGAATCCATCCGCGCTATATGATTATGTAACTTTTTGCTCCACGTCTTTTTATATTCTGTATCGCGATAAATCTTCATCTTAATAATATCCTTAACAGATCTCGATAACATCCTTAAATCATACGCGCGCGCGCGCACACGCCACCGCGCGCAAACACGTGAATAAACACTTTAACGAGAAACTCGTCGTTTAATCGCGCTCGTATACGGCGCCGATCGCCGTGCAGTGTTCCACGTTATACTTACGACGGTGTATGCACGTGGTACGGTAGGATGACGCGACGAAGGAGGTGGCGGCGGAGGAGGGAGGAGGCGAGGGCTCTCTCCTGATCCCAGGAACGCTAAACGACTACTCATCCCTGTTAAACTGTTTGTATTTTCACTCGTCACGGCCACGTCGGTTGTTCGAGGTGCTCATATCGACACTCGACCCCGAATCGATCGTGACTCTTCATAAATTACTTCCACGGGTCGACCGAGGCGCAAGAGATGTGCGTTTGCACTTTGGCCGAGTCATCATTAGCCGACCACGATATATCTTTATCCATCGACAACATCGCGCGTGTCCTTAAGTGAAATCACGATTCGAAGGACACGCGTCGATGGACGCGAGACGAGTGTATGTCTGGCATTTCAACATTAATCCAATTCCCCCCCACCCACCCACCCCCTCGTCGAAAAAGGACCACGTCGTGGCGCGCGAGAAGTTTTCGATTTCGCGAGATCGGGATTCTCTTCCGGATATTTCGACACTTGGAAATCGGGATGACAACCACTGACCCCCCGTCGCGTCAGGTGGTGCATCGAGGTGCGTTCCCAGCTTTCGTGCACTACGTGTGCTCTCGCAAACACGTCTGTACGCGTGCGAATGCACAGATGCCTGCTGATAGGACGGACTTTGTTATATGTATGTATCACAGTGGCCATGCCTCATCGGCGATGCAACAATTGTACTTGCGATAAAAAGACATTATTGTATCGCGGCGGCGGTAAATGGGCGCGTGTCAATTAATTTTTCATTCGGGCGCTCTCGTGACGCGACTACATCTTATTGCCACAAATAATAAGCACGCGTACACGTAATTCAAGTTCCTGACGCTCTCTTGCGCGAAGCACATAAGGGTTGAAAAAAAAAGATACGCAAAAGTCCCCGCTTATTAGAGAAGTATATAAGAATATATAATAATTCGGTTCTGCGGGGGAAAAAAATCTTTCTCGTACAGTTCCGAATTAGTATGCAAATTGTCGCAAAATTATGCAAGCGACGAAGGACTCATCGGCATATCACCGAGAGCCAAAGAGATTTCGAGGAGAGAAAGTTGGGAGTGAACTCGAGGAAATGTTCGATCTCGTTATTGAGAATCACGGACACATTCGCGATCGTAATGTTGGTATTCAAGTCGCGCGCGCCTCTCGCTGATTGATTTTTAGGCGATCGCGCGATACGGCTCGGCCGATTTTCGATGAGATTCGGGGACACTTGTTCGCTCGTATCTCGGAGATATGTAAATGTTCCCATCCTCTCGCGGCGCGAAGCATCTCCACGAGAGCAATCAGACAAACGGGCCAGTCAGCGATGGCACAGTCACAATGTGCCATGAGCCATAACGGCGTGGTTATCAGATAAGCTTATAAGACCCGGGTAATCGTAATAGCATCGCAATGGCGGTTTCTCCGGCTCCATCGCGGTCGATGAACGCAGGTGGGGAAGCGGCGTACGAACGATGAACGAAGACGAGAGGAGAGACGGGTCGCCGGGCCTCTTTTCCCCATCGCGGCGAGTCATTGTTCCGTCGTAATTAATATTTTAATTGAGATCAGCGGGAATTAATTAACGCAACAGGCCTGTTAAGGTCGTTCGCCTGGACCGATCAATCGCGATCGCGGCGCACTTGTCAGGATCAAGATTTAATTCGTCTTCTTTTTCGTGATATCTCTATCAGGCGTGCGAGACGTCGTAGAGCTCGATAAGGTGTGATTCACGAAAAGGAAATGGTCGGGAATAAATCGATTAGCGGCGCGGCAAACGTTATCTCGAAGAAAGAAGAATCCGTTAAAGGTCCGCTATGAATATTAACAAATCTATCTTCACGCATTGGATGATAATTCGGAGAGCTAAATATTCTATTGTAATAGCGGACATATGCAGATGGAGGCTCGTATATCACATTCGTAATCGGATAAAAAGCTAACGACGCGACGCATACAAGCCGCATAATCAGTTAGGATGTGATCCTAGCACGAGCGAGCGGCGAACCGAGTATCATAGAAATGGATACAAAGGGGCCATCAGCAGCCACGGTAACGAGCCAGCCGACCTACCCACCCCATCGTATCCCCCATTGTTATCGCTCTTCGTGGCGCATCAGCGCCGACTCAAAAACACGCTCTCCCGGCAGTTAAGCCGTGCACATTCGCGCGTCTAATTCCGCGAATGTGGCCAGCGGCAGGTACTCAACTACTCAGCAGGCATGCACGTGCTTACTCGTGCCCTCCTGTCTCTCTCCTTCTCTCTCCCCCTCGTCGCTCTTTTACGCTAGCCGCGTCTCTCCCACGTCTCGAACAATAAAAGGAATACGCGGTGTAAAGCAGATAGCGAACGCGCGCTCGCTCTCTTCAGGGTGGAAACGTTTTAATAAGCAGACGTGGCCTCTCCGAGGGGGCGTATAAATATATTCGGTTGCTATAGCGAGAGCGTACTCTCGCATTGCGAAAGAGTGAGAGACGTGATATGGGGAGACTATGAGGGACTGGGTGGTGCACCGGGGGCGGATATATCGGTGAGACAACGAAGGGTGGAGCGGGGGACGGCGGGCGTGGTAGAACGAGAGGCAAAACATGTTGCGGCACGAGCTGCCTCGAGAGCTCCGCGGAATTAGCTTTATTATAACCTGGGGGCCATCCATACATGCCTAACAGCGCACGAACATTCGCCGGCCAATAAGCCAAATGCTAACCAAACATTTTCGCGACTCGGCGTACCCTACAATTCATCCCTTCCTCGTGTCTCACTGTAGCGCCGAGAGGTCCAGAGCAAGGAGGATCGATCCCGATTAAAGCGAGATGTGTATTTAACATGACCATCAACCGGCGACGGCGACTTCATGTTTCGAGATTTAACTTTGGGCAAACGAGATCTACTTTCCATTCAACGACGTAAGACTTAAACGACATGGAACGGAAACTAAATGCGCGGTTCGTCAACCCGTGACTTAACAAGATGCATCGAAGAATTAGGCGTATCTTTACCGCGGCCGCAGGCAAGTCCTTCCATCTTACAGCCTCTAACGACTCTCCCTCCCGAGGGAGGAACTTTTCTGGTCGCGGCAGCGCCGTGAAACGATTAGGCCCGGATTAGTCGAGCGCGCGAGATCGATTATGCGATCCTGCGGATAACATTGGCCTGATTTATTCCCCTAATGGGCGTTCGCGCATTCATTTCGAGGCCGTGCGAGGCAATTCCACGGGGCTTCGTCGGATGGCGGTGCCCGTCCTGTCGCTGACAGGAAAACTCTCGCTGGGTGATTCAGCGTTCGGTTCGGCGACGCCTCCCAACGACCACCATAATGCCTATCTACCTCGGGTACCCACCTACCTAACGCCATTTCCATCGTCCGGGATCATAATCCAAGGTTCAATCGCGAGTCGAATGAAATCGCGTCGAAATATGACGACGGGACGCTAGGGCTAAACGGTCACGACGGCTCGAGTACTGGCCGTCTAATCGCGCCGTCGATCCCCCCCCGTTCGCCGATCTGTCGGCCAGGAATCGATTTATCTCGGTCAAATAAATGGATTTAAGAAGAAAACAAAAGAGGAAACGACGAGTGCCTGGCAAATTTATAGGAAGTGCGCAAAACACTTAGCTTTAATGACGTTCGTCGATGCAGTAACAGTCAACGCGAGATATTTATAAATTCGACGCGTGTGCGTTGCGCGATAATGTAAGTAAATGACGCACTTTTAAGAAACGGATGATTTACGACTAATATAGATTTCGGCTTGAAATCCGGCTGCGCGAAATTAATTTTACGACGGCGGGATACAAGCGTCGCGCGTATACGAGCGAAATTCGACAAGTCGGCGCGGAACAATTACACGATGGCGGGGAAATTAGCGATCGCGGACGATTATTATCTCGCGCGGCGCCGAGGGTGATTCATAACCCGCGCCTCGTATTTTCGCGGACGGCACACGTCGAAATTGGTCCGGATGGGAAACACAGGCGGCATCGACACCGCACGCTCGCCCAACCCAACGCCCTCTTCTCCGCCGCCCCACGCCACTTCGTTGACAGGATTATATTCGTACGTACCCACCGTGTTCCTCGGTGTACTTCGGTCCCGCAATACGCGTCGCGCGATCATATTCCCGTCGGCTAATAAATTTAGCGCGTTGCCCGAGCACACGGCTGTCC